GTAAGTGATACGCTGTTTAAATATTACCCATTTTGAACTGCTTTACTGAGAATCATATCATTAGCGTTATTATCATTCTCATGTATGGTATTAGAGGCAAATTAAACTAATTATGTAAGTTCTTTTGAGTTAGGAGAGGGGCGAGATTTGAACTTCTGGTACTTCTGCAATCCTTATGTTGCCCACTCAGCCTACCCTGTGATCAGTCCCAGTGTTGGTTTCGAGTCCTCATCGAAGTTGTCAAATTGATGGACATGTAAAGGAGTAAGGGATGAAACTGGGGCCCCCCCGGGCCATCCCTTATCCTCCCTGGGAGGTTCAACTGCTCCTCCTTTGCCAGGGTCAAGTTGATCTGCAGTCTTTCTTCAGGCTTGGCCTGCCCGTCCAGTTTCTGGAATGATGGTCCTGGTTTAGGCGAGTGCTGCTCTTCAACAGAAGAATCTCCTAGTGGTCCTTATTTGTCAGGTGTCAAAATTTTCTCTTGGTTTACAAACCTCATTACCTAGGCTGTCATTAAAGTGTTAGTTTTTCTTTTTTCTTTTTTTTTTTTTAAATAGTAACACTCACTTCTAGTTTTCATTTTTTCTTTTTTTCAGGGGTGGGAGGCATTAATTTACATTCGTTGAGGTAGGCTAGAGTTAAATTTGCCAATTACTTTGGACTGAATTTATTACTATTGACTCATCCTCATAAAATTATTTTCTTTGAAGATGGAAGTTTGGGTTCGTTTAAATGTGGAATCTTTATACTTTGATAAAATATTGACAAAACAATCATGTAGGCGCTTATGTTGTAGCAAGAGAAGGAAAACATGAATCAGTGCACATGATTTTGTGGTAGAAAATCATTACCACATTACTTCAGTGATCACGTTTGTGTAAAGATTGGGTCATCTAGGATGGTTATTAAATATTATGGATGAGCTATAAATTGTTCAATTAGGATTTACAGGTTTCAGATCGCCAAACTTCCAAGCAATGTTGATAATGGCTGTTTTACTTAAATTCCGTCATATGGTTGTTTCAAGAGTGTCAGAAGAGAGGAAGAGAAAGAAAGGGGCAAGTTCATTATTTGTGGTACAGCAAGCATTTTAATGTTACTGAAATTTGTTTCACCCCTACTCTTTGTGTGCTTGCATTTAGGGTGCTTCTTTGCCACCAAAAGCCATGTGTTTAGACTCTCTCCTATTTCGCCTTACTTGACCTTGAACTGTCTAGCTCAGCTGTTTCTATAACTGTTCATTTTCTATTTTTTAGAAAGCAATACCAATAATTTCTTACTACTATTATTTTTTGGTTTTTGAGATTGTATCTTCCTATGTAGCCCATGCTATTCTCAAATTCAGTCTCTGAGGGAAGGACGACAAACGTGTCACTACGCCCCAGCTTCTTCTACTGCTACAGTCAGCATGTGTTATGATAGTGGTCTGTACTGATAGATTTTCTGTACTTGTTGTTTTTCTGGGATAAACTCAATTCCACATACGCACGTGTGCGCACGCGTGTGTGTGTGTGTGTGTGTGTGTGCGTATGTGGAGTGGGGGGGGAGAGAGAGAGAGAGAGAGAGAGAGAGAGAGAGAGAGAGAGAGAGAGAGAGAGAGAGAGGAGAAACTTGTGCATCTGTGTATTTCTTTAGGAATGTTTTGTCCTGTGTACAGAAATCTGGTTGGCCTGTGAGTTTCCTTTCTCAGAGTACCATTGATCCAATATACTCTCAAGATTATCAAGATAATAATGACCTCAAGCTGAGTTGGGAAGTTTTACCTCTATGTTCTGAAATAAAGTATGTAATGTTGTATTTTATATTCCTTAAGGATCTGTTAAAACTTGCATGTAAAACTGGGCCCAATAGGTTTTTGGCATACTATACTTGGGAGTTTATTATGCAATCTGTTTGGGTATTTTTAATAACATTGAGTGTAAAAAAACATTTGAAAACATTTTTAAATGGGAGAGAGATCCATATAGTTCCAGGGAGTGGGGAAGGTCTTGGGAGTAATAGAGAGATTACAGGGAAAAAGAGGTAATTTAGGGGAAAGACTAAAGAAGACAGAAGAGATGGGATTGGAGCAGAATTAAATGGACTGCTCCTCTGGGAGAGGACAGTGCTCTGTGACTCTGACCAACAAGGAGCACTGAGTGGATGGGGTTCCTACAGGTACAATTTGTAGACATGATCTGGTGCTGGCACTTTCTCCCAAGGTTCCTATGGGATTCAGTAAGATAGAAGGTGTATGTATACCAAGTTAAGACAGCTGACATGCTGAAGGAATTCACCAGAAAATCAAAAAGGATTTTGATGAGTGATGACAATAAATATATATAGTTTTATTAAGAAAGTACATTAGAATTTTAAATAAGGAAATTGAACAGTATTGACAAAACTAGGCTGTAAATTCATTTTTCTCTCCATTCCTGACTCTTATTTCTTGAGGATGTTTTCAGAAGTAGTATAATTATCTTCTTGCATAGGATAGGAACCAAAACCTGAAATGTATCTCTTAATCTGGTTCCTACTAGCCACCCCTTTCCATTTCTCCTAATAAAAGGAAAGATGAACTCATGAGGAACAAGCTCACCTGTTATTTTCTGAAGTCTTTTCAGTCTGATCTCCCTGCACTTGGCTCATCTTCCCCTCCCTTGGCAGTAGGCCCAGCTCTCATGCATTTTGAAGAGTACCTGAATTCTCAGTTTTGGAGGCTGAGAGTTGTGGATGGGTGAGATGAGCTCGCAGAGCTTCTTGTTTGTGGGTTTCCCATCTGAATGACGAAACCTCTTGAACGTGAGCATGTGGATTCTTCTAGGTCTTAATAATGTTTCTGAGGCCAAGTTGCCATTGGAAACATTTTGTGGGTGACATTCTCATAGTTACACCTGAATCTCTTATCTTTACCCAAATCCAGCTTCACTTCCTGATGTCTGTGTCTAAGTCAACCCTGTCTTCTTCATGTAATCCTCGAATTATTTTGTTCCCTTTATTTGTTCCTTTTGAGTTTATCTCCAGTCAGGAGCCTCAGAAATCAGATCCTCTCAGCACATCTTCCTTTTCCATTTTATAGCTGGTGCTTAAATTCTATGGTTTTGAGTGTTTTTTAGAGTCTAACATTCTTGCCTTTATTCTCTCTCATTCCACACCGTCAATGGCTCATTTGAATTCCCAGGATACTTGATTCAGGGGATCAAGTCCTTAAAACTTTTCAACGTTTTGCTGTTGTCACATCCGAGATCAAGTCCAAATCCTAACCTACATGAGAATTGTTCTGTAGTTTATATTTAAGTACATTTTTCAATTTCCTTTGTTGACAGGTTCTTAAGCTGCTGTTATGTTTTCTTTTCTCTTTCCTGCCTCTTTCATATACTTTTTAATTCTCCCATTCTTGAATCTATTCACTCATGTATACTCTTTCAGTTCTCACATGTTGTTTTCAGTCACATTCAAGATACTGGTTCTGTGCTTCAGGTACCACGGTAAGCCACACAGACACCATAGCCTCCATCTCATCTAGACATTCTGGTGGAATTTGGAGGATATCTAGCCTGTGTTTCTGTCACATTTTCCCTTTCGTTTTACCTAAGATTCCACACATCTTTCTCTTTTATGAATAATTCCTATATATCTTTAAACACCTATATATACCTTGTATTTATAGAATCCATGTTTAAAGAAAATACAAGTACTGTTTGTCTATTGATAAACACTTGGAAAGATCATTCATTAATAATTCATTATAGTTCCAGTACCTTATACATGCTTTGTTATAATTGTAAAAATTGTAAAAATGAAGAAATTTATATAAAAGAGTAAAAACATCAAGATTTTGTACACATTAAAATTTTAAGAACCAAATACCTATTTCTCTATTAGTTAGCCCCGGTTTTCTTTCTTTAAGTGGAAAGTAACTTTCAGTTGATAACATTTTTCCTTCAATAAATGATAATGGAGAGAAGGCATATTGGCTGTTCAGAGCTATTCCTTAAGCATCTACAATGCTATTCCTGCTGACACGATGTGGACATAGGTATATTTCCATAATAGATATGTTTTTAGCATCAGAGTTTGTTAAAAGATTATTTTCTTTGCTCAGACCACTTTATTGATTCAACAGTTGTCACATGTCTGCTTATTTCGTGTGATTTCATTCAGAATACTAAATCCAAGGGAAAAAAAAAGACCATCAGATAACATGGTTGATTGCCAAGGATACCGATATCTCAAAACTGGCAGTAAACTTACTGAATATTTTTTCAGTGCCAGAAATGAGCTACTGAAAGCTGCAAAAATGGTTCATGAAGCAGCATTTGGTCTGTCTTCACATACTGTCATTTTATAATAACCAAACTCTGGGCTGTAGGCCTTCTAATAGGAGTTAACAGTGCTTGTAAAAAACCTGTCTCTATAGAGTGGCTATTTCCTGATTTCCCTTAGAAAAAATGCAAATGAGGCCTAGAAGTAACTGTGGGTTTCTCATCTAGAAAGGACTGAATGTGTTTAACAAGTCTAATCATGGGACAAAAATAGAAACCCAAAGGACAGGGAAATGGAATGTCTAATTTGAAGAGGCAAGTGGTGCCCTGTGCTTTGTCCTTGCTCCTAAGTAAGGCTTTTGTGATTTTGCTAAGTCTTTAGCCCTTTCCAGTCAAGTTGCAGAGGAAATGGTATTGTTTGCTTTCAGTTTTCGCCAGATGAATCATGGGAATGCTGTGTTATTTTCTGCCCAGCCCAGAGCCCAAAGAAAAATGCTCATCTGGTTTTTAAATACAACCAAGCCCTGATGCCTGGTCTGCTCTTGATTGAGTGACTTCCCAGCATGTTTTATGTGTTCTGTGTGGATTATGTGGCACCCTAATGAAAACCTCCAATGGTCCCTAAATGATTACATTGGGGACCTCCATACTGTCCCTTAAATGTAATGCTTGCTACCCGATGTGCCCTTTCCAGAGGAAAAATCATTCATTTTTATCTTTTTATTTATTTATTATTATTATTTTTTTTCTATTTAGAAATTGGTCCCTGGTTACGGGAGTTCAGAGTGAAGAATGCTGTGGATTTCTCGCGGTTAACATTTGACCCAGGACAGAAAGAACTTGTGGTAGGAGCAAGGTGAGAGATTATGTTTTGCCGCCACAGGTATTTTCTGACTTCATTTACATCTGTGCAGTTACACGGGAGCTTCTCTGCTGAAAGTGAAGAAGGCTGAATAGCGTAATTTCATCAGAGGATGAGATGCAATACATGTGACATAGGTATGCTGCTAGGTAGAGGATGAGTGTGCCCCTCATGGCAAGCATTGATAGGACCTTCACTGCACGCAGGAACACCCCAAACCTGAGTCAACACAGGCTGGTTAGCTCCCATCGAACCCAAGGTTGGATTCTGTCAATTTCCCAATTTCAGGAATGAGGAAACTAAGGCAAAAATTAGATAAATCTGTTGACCAGAGGACATGCCTGATGAAAGATGGACCTGGTTTCAGACTTCTAGAAAACACTCCATTTCTTAGCACAAGTCTAGAGGCAAAGAGGCCTTCATGTGTACCCCAAGGGGCATCATTACCTTTCTTGATGACTTTCACTAGTCCTTTACCAGTAATTGGGAATTACCATTTTCTGTGTCTCTTAAGAGTGCATATGTTCCAGTGTCCAGGCCAACACCTGCTTGCAGTTAGGCATTGAGGCCACTGGAGCACATTACATGGATTTTGAGTTATTCCCTCTTAACCTGCTATTACCTCCTTAGGAAAAAATGAGACCTGTTGCAACTTTTCCAGGGATGGGGAGGAAGAGGGATAAAGGAGAATGATGGAGGAGGTGAATTCAACCATGATATGTTGTAAGAACTTTTGTAAATGTCACAATGTGCCCCAAGTAAAACAACAATAAAAAAGAAAATGTGCAGTCCCTACTTTCAACTTATCTATCTTGTCAGTATCTTTTAAAGGTGATATGTATGGCACCTCATCCTTCACTTAGGAAAATTGACAATGAAGTTGAATGAGGAAACCATAGATAGATTTGGAGTCTTCTGGCATCTAAGGAAAGTACATTAAATGGTGGAGTGCTCATGTCAGTTTCAGACAAGTTTTCTAGGTTATAAAACATACCTTTTATAGCTACAGAGGTTGTACAATTCTCACACTTTAGACCTGAGTGAAGCTAAGCCCAGCTTATGCTTTGGGTACTCTGGGTAAGCATGGAGCATTTTCTAGAATCATTGTTTTTGCTCTCAGATATCATGCCCTCAACACAGATGAACAGAAGCTTTTTAGTTTTATGAGGTCCCATTTATCTATGCTATCTCTCAGTTGCTGTGCTGCTGGGGTTTCGTTGAGAAAGTTCTTGCCTATACCTACTAACTCCAGAGTATTTCCTACTCTTTCTTGTATCAACTTAAGAGTTTGGGGTCTGATATTAAGATCCTTGATCCATTTTGAGTTAATCTTGGTATAGGGTGATATACATGGATCTAGTTTCAGTTTTTTGCAGACTGCTAACCAGTTTTCCCAGCAATTTTTGTTGAAGAGGCTGTCTTTTCTCCATCGTATATTTTTAGCTCCTTTGTCAAAGACCAGTTGGTTATAGTTGTGTGGCTTCATACCTGGGTCCTCTATTCTGTTTCACTGGTCTTCATGTCTGTTTTTGTGCCAGTACCATGCTGTTTTTATTGTTATTGCTTTGTAATATAGTTTGAAGTCAGGTATTGTGATACCTCCTGCATTGTTCTTTTGACTGAGTATTGCCTTGGCTATTCGTGGCCTCTTGTGTTTCCATACAAATTTAACAGTAGATTTTTCAATCTCTTTAATGAATGTCACTGAAATTTTGATGGGAATTGCATTAAACATGTAGATTACTTTTGGAAGTATAGACATTTTTACCATGTTGATTCTACCAATCCATGAGCATGGGAGATCTCTCCACTTTCTATAGTCTTCCTCAATCTCTTTCTTCAGAAGTGTATAGTTTTCCTTGTAGAGGTCTTTCACATCTTTTGTTAGGTTTACACCTAGGTATTTGATTTTTTTTGAGGCTATTGTAAATGGAATTGTTTTCATACATTCTTTTTCAGTTTGCTCATTGTTAGTGTATAGAAATGCTAATGATTTTTCTATGTTGATTTTATATCCTGCTACCTTGCTATAGCTATTGATGATGTCTAGAAGCTTCTGAGTAGAGTTTTTTGGGTCTTTAAGGTATAGGATCATGTCGTCTGCAAATAGGGATATTTTGACAGTTTCTTTACCTATTTGTATTCCTTTTATTCCTTCTTCTTGCCTAATTGCTCTGGCTAGGAATTCCAGTACTATGTTGAATAGGAGTGGAGATAGTGGGCATCCTTGTCTGGTTCCTGATTTTAGAGGGAATGGTTTCAGTTTTTCTCCATTAAGTATAATGCTGGCTGTAGGTTTGTCATATATAGCTTTTATAATGTTGAGGTACTTTCCTTCTATTCCTAGTTTTCTTAGAGCTTTTATCATGAAATGGTGTTGGATCTTATCAAAGGCTTTTTCTGCATCTATTGAGATGATCAAGTGGTTTTTGTCTTTGCTTCTGTTAATGTGGTTTATTACGTTTATTGATTTTCGTATGTTGAACCACCCCTGCATCCCTGGGATGAAGCCTACTTGGTCGTGGTGAATAATCTTTTTGATGTGTTGTTGAATTCGGTTTGCCATTATTTTGTTGAGGATTTTTGCATCAATGTTCATTAAGGAGATTGGCCTATAGTTCTCCTTTTTGGAGGTGTCTTTGCCTGGTTTTGGGATAAGTGTAATACTGGCTTCATAAAATGTGTTTGGCAGTTTTCCTTCCCTTTCTATTTGTGGAACAGTTTAAGGAGGGTTGGTATCAGTTCTTCTTTAAAGGTCTGATAGAATTCAGCAGAGAATCCATCAGGTCCTGGACTTTTCTTTTTGGGGAGACTCTTGATTGCTGCTTCAATTTCATTTTGTGTTATAGTCTATTCAGGTGATTAATTTCCTCTTGGTTCAGTTTTGGATGATCATATGTATCTAGAAATCTGTCCATTTCTTTAAGATTTTCAAATTTATTTGAATATAGGTTCTCAAAGTAGTCTCTGATGATTTCCTGGACTTCCATGGTGTTTGTTGTTATCTCCCCTTTTGCATTCCTGATTCTACTAATTTGGGTTTTTTCTCTCCTCATTTTAGTCAGGTTTGCCAGGGGTCTATCGATCTTGTTTATTTTTTCAAAGAACCAACTTTTTGTTTCATTAATTCTTTGTATTTTTTTTTGGTTTCTATTTGTTGATTTCAGCTCTTATTTTTATTATTTCTCTCCTTCTATTTGTTTTGGGATTTGCTTGTTCTTGTTTTTCTAGGAGTTTGAGATGTATCATTAGGTCATTGATTTGGGATCTTTCAGTCTTTTTAATATATGCACTCATGGCTATAAACTTTCCTCTCAGGACTGCCTTAGCTGTGTCCCATAGGTTCCGGTAGGTTGTTTTCATTTTCATTGACTTCCAGGAATTTTTAATTTCCTCTTTTATTTCATCAATGATCCATTGTTCATTAAGTAATGAGTTATTTAGTTTCCAGCTGTTTGCATGTTTTTTGTCTTTACTTTTGTTGTTGAGTTCTACTTTTACTGCATTGTGATCAGATAGTATGCACGGTATAATTTCTATTTTCTTATATTTGCTGAGGCTTGCTTTGTGCCCTAGGATATGATCTATTTTGGAGAAGGTTCCATGGGCTGCTGAGAAGAATGTATATTGTGTAGAAGTTGGATGAAATGTTCTGTAGACATCTACTAGGTCCATTTGATCTATTGCATATTTTAGATCTTGGATTTCTTTATTGATTTTTTGTTTGGATGACCTATCTATTGATGATAATGGGGTGTTAAAGTCTCCCACAACCACTGTGTTGGGGTTAATATATGCTTTTAGGTCTTTCAGGGTATGTTTGATGAAATTGGTGTGTTGACATTGGGTGCATACAGGTTGATGATTATTATTTCCTTTTGGTCTATTTCCCCTTTTATTAGTATGGAATGTCCTTCTTTATCTCGTTTGATCAATGTAGGTTTGAAGTCTACTTTGTCAGAGATAAGTATTGCTACTCCTGCCTGTTTTGGGGCCATTGGCTTGGTAAATCTTCTTCCAGCCTTTCATCCTAAGCCTATGCTTATTTCTGTCGGTGAGATGGTCTCCTGTAAGCAACAAATTGTTGGATCTTTTTTTAATCCATTTCGTCAATGTGCCTTTTGATGGGTGAATTAAGTCCATTAACATTAAGTGTTAGTACTGATAGGTGTGGTGATTCCTGTCATTTAGTTGTCTTAGTTGTTTGAAGGTTTGATTGTGTGTACCTAAGTTGATGTTACTCTCTACTGTCTTGCTTTTTCTTTCCTGTGGTTTGGTGCTGCCTGTCTTTCATGGTTAAGTTGGGTTTCACTTTCTGTGTGCAGAATCCCTTGAAGAATCTTTGTAGTGGTGGCTTTGTGATCACATATTGTTTTAGTTTCTGCTTATCATGGAAGACTTTTATTCATCATGGAAGACATCTATTTTGAATGATAGTTTTGCTGGGTAGAGTATCCTGGGGTTGAAGTTATTTTCATTCAGTGCCTGGAAGATCTCACCCAACACTCTTCTTACTTTTAATGTTTCTGTTGAGAAGTCTGCTGTGATTTTGATGGGTTTACCTTTTTATGTTATTTGTTTTTTCTCTCTTACAGCCTTCAATATTCTTTTCCTAGTTTCTGAACTTGTTGTTTTAATGATGATATGTCATGGGGTAGTTCTATTTTGATCTGGTCTGTTTGGTGTCCTGGAGGCCTCTTATATCTGTATAGGAATATCTTTCTCTAGATTTGGGAAATTTTCTGTTATTATTTTGTTGAATATATTATGCATTCCCTTCACTTGCACCTCTTCTTCTTCTTTTGATGCCCATGATTCTCAAGTTTGGTCTTGATGGAGTCGGTGAGTTCTTGCATTTTCTTTTCACAGGTCTTGAGTTGTTTAATTAGTAGTTCTTCGGTTTTTCCTTTAATTACCATTTCATCTTCAAGTTCTGACATTCTGTCTTCAACAGCAGGCTGACAGCAGCAGGCAGGCAAGCCACAGCCGCAGAT